GGAGGCCGGGCCGCAGGGGGGCAGCAGCGGTCCCTGCCATGCGCCTTTCTCCTCCCTGCCCCGTCTGCCCCGAGGGTGCACGGCCGCAGCAGAGCCCGGCGGCAGGCTGGGCGGCATCCCGGCCCGGGAAGGACCAGGGGCTGCAGCGGGCTGGGCGCCGTGTCCTCACTCTCTCTTCCCCTCTCCTCGCCAGGTTTGCATGTCCTCGCCATCGCCTTCGCCTTGGAGGTGTCAGTGGGGAAGACCAACACTGTGATGGCTCTGAATAACTCCGACGTCCTGCTGCCCTGCACCTTCACCACCTGCATAGGCTTTCAGGACCTGGTCTTCACGTGGTATTTCAACTCGACGGAGATGGTGGGTGGCTCTCAGGGCTTTGCCTCTGTTTTCTCGGCAGTTCCTTTTGTACTTCCCCAGTGCAGAGCAGCACTGCAGTTCTCGCAGAGTTCCCTTTCGCCTCTTGCCAGATGCCCGTCCCTCCGAGTGCCTCCAGCTCTGGGGGGACGGGGCCGTGCAAGCAGGGACTGAAACACCCGGGCACATCTGTGCTTTGGGCACGAAGCTGTTCTGGATTATCTGCTGCCTGTGGCCTCGTTTCTTTTCATACCTTGGCTGTTCAGGTGCAAGTCTGCACTCTGGGCAGAATATGGTTAATTTTCTCCTCCTGCGCTTGCTCTGAAATACCAAAGGTTCTGTATAGATTAGCTTCCTTCTGGGAATATTCTGCTCTTCAGCTCCTTAGCAGGGGGGCTGATTTAGAGCAGGTCTGTCTTCCCAAAGGGACTCTCTCATGGGTTCTCCCATCTTTTGTGTGGTCTGGAACGTTGCTGCCAGGCAAGTCACATTGATCTGTTGCTTTCCCGGCGGGCTGTGAGTCAGATCCCCCTCCGCGGCCATTCCCGCGTTGATGGGGTGTGCCGGGACACTTGGCCGTGCGTGTCTGTGCCTGCAGAAGTGGGGCAGGGCACCAGCAGGGGAACTCGAGCCTTTCCCTCGCCTGCCGTTGTCAGGCTGACCCCACGTCCCGCATCCCTGCCTCTGCAGATTTACCACGGCAAGATAAAGAGCAAAGCCTCGGAGCCCTTCCTCGTGGGACGCAACCCACGGGTCGAGTTTGTCGGCTCAACGACCGGGAAGGACAACAACATCTCCATCGTCCTGAAGAATGTGGACTTCAGCGATGCTGGGAAATACACCTGCCACGTCAAGAACCCCAAGGAGAAGAACGCGCAGCACAACGCCACCATCATCCTCACGGTGGTCCAGAAGAGTAAGTGCCGGTCAGGGCTGCCGTGCCCCGTGCGTGGCACTGGGGCAGTGGGGGTGCAAACCTGTGCTCACCCCACCTTGGCTCGTGGCTGTGGCGGTGCACGGGGCGTCCTGGCTTCTTGGAGGTCGTTGGCGCCCCCGAAGGGCAAGGCTTGGCCTGGTGCCCCTCTGCGCTGCTGGCCAGCGGCTGGCGGAGGGGGTCGCTGCTTTTTTGGGGGGCCCATGCATCTGGGAGCTCCCTGCTCCCCTCCTGAGGCCCCTCAGCACCTTCTCTCCTGCAGTGGTGGAGACAGACAACACTCTGACGCTCATCATCGTGAGCGTTGTGGGGGGGCTCATCGGCCTCCTCATCCTCTTCATGCTCATCAAGAGGGTTGTCCTGTTCATCATCAAGAAGACCCAGGATGGGAAGTGAGTGCGGGCGCCGGTGCCGGCACGCTTCGGCGGGTGCTGCCGTGGGGCAGGGCTGCTCGGGGCCGGGGTCGCGGCGAGAGGGGCTGGGGGTAGCCGGGGGCTGTCAGCTGGCCGTCTGCTCTCCCCCAGGAAGGAGTGTCTCGTGAGCTCGTCAGGGAACGACAACACCGAGAACGGCTTGGCCGGCTCCAAGGCAGAACAAAAAGCACCACCAAAGGCATGAAGCAGCGGAGCCCTGGCTCGCCCAGCCGCGGGGAGGGTGGGCAGGGGGACCAGCCTTTCCCTTTTGTTTTCTTTCCAAACTGCCGACGCTTGAGACATGTTTCTATTACACACGTGCCTGCGACCTGCACTGCTTCTCGGGAAAGACTTCGGCTGCCGGGGGGACTGGGAGCTTTTC